ATCTCCATACTCACAGCCAGAATCAGACCCCAACATGCCTCATGGTCAAATAGGAGGTCAAATTCACAAGAAGGCCTTCCCACTAAAAGAATTAAAAGATTGTTCAAATTTATATCAATAAAATCTGGCAAATCTGAGAATGGATTTTGAGGTGCTGGACCAGGGAGGAGGAACATAATTTAAAATTAGGCTGAATAGATCAATACGAGTGCACATACCAGAGAGCCTGGCTTTCATGAGTTAGTTCTAATAACTCGGAGTTCTTTTTTTTTTTAAGATTTTATTTATTTATTTGAGACACAGAGAGAGCATGAGTAGGGGGTAGGGGCAAAGGGAGAGGGAGAATCAAACTCCTCTTTGAGCAGGGCCCAATGCGGGGCTCGATCCCCAGACCCTGGGATCATGACCTGAGCCAAAGGCAGACGCTTAACCAACTGACCACCCAGATGCCCCATAACTGGGAGTTCTAGTTGCCTTTTTTTTTTTTAAGATGAGGTTATTTTTCCCTAGAGTCTATAATGACATTTTAGTATATTCACTTTACCTTATATCTACCCAGCTATCCATTCTTCTATTCATCTCTCAATCTGTTGTATTTTTTGATGCATTCACAGTAAGTTACAGACATCCATACACTTGGTTCCTAACACTTCTGTGTATCATTAATTTTAACAAAATATTATTTGTTAATTTTCAGGTAAAATTTTCGTACAGTGAAATGCCTAAATCTTAAGTGCACCCACCACACAATGAGTATGACACACACACATGTCTATGTAACCCAACCCCTTACCATCATCCCAGAAAGTTCTTTCATGCCTCTTCCCAATTAATCCCAACTCCCACTCCCTCACAGGGAGTAACCACTCTTCTGATTCTTTTTCCACTAGAAAAAGTTCTTTAATTTTGCCTGTTCTTTAATTCCTTTGAGTACTTTGTGTAAGCCTTCTTTTACTCAACAAAAAGTTTTTGAGATTCACCTATGTTGTGTGTATCAATAGTTCATTACATTTTTTTATTGCTGAGTAGTAATTCATTGAATGAATATACTTGTGTAGGCAGAATTCTAAGATGTCTCCAAAATTCCTACCTCTTGGTGTACATGCCCTGTGTAATTCCCAGTACTATGACTATGATGAGATATCACTTCCATAATTAGGTTATATCATATGACACTATTGACTATTAAAAAGGGTGGATCTGACCTAATGACGTTGAATCCTTTATATCTGGGTTAAGAGGTCAGAAAACAGTGAAGTCAGAGAGATTTGAAAAACATCACTCAACAGGAGGAAGAGTCTTCATAGCCAAATGGAGGGGCCACATGGCAAATGTGGGTGACCTCTAGGAGCTGAGAGTGACTTCCAGCTGACAGCCAGTAAGAAGACAGGACCTCAGTCCTACAACTACGAGGAATTGAATTCTGCTAAGAATTGAATAAACTCGGGAGTGGATTTTTCCTCAGAGTCTCCAAAAGGAAATGCAACCTGGCTGACATCCTGAAATCCTGAGCAGATGAGAACTGTGCCCTACTCTGAACTGTGAGCTAATGAGTGAATTGTGAGCTACAGAATTGTGAGCTAATGAGTGAATGTTTTTTTTTTCTATCACTGTGGTTGTCTTTTTTTTTCTTTAATTTTATTATGTTATGTTAGTCACCATACAGTACATCATTAGTTTTTGATGTAGTGTTCCATGATTCATTGTTTTCATATAACACCCAGTACTCCATGCAATACATGCCCTCCTTAATACCCATCACTGGGCTAACCCATCCCCCAAGCCCCCTCCCCTCTAAAACCCTCAGTTGGTTTCTCGGAGTCCATAGTCTCTCATGGTTCATCTCTCCCTCCAATTACCCCCCCCCCTTCATTTTCCCCTTCTTTCTCCTAATGTCCTCCATGCTATTCCTTAGGTTCCACAAATAAGTGAAACCATATGATTCACTTTCTCTGTTTGACTTATTTCACTTAGCATAATCTCCTCCAGTCCCATCCATGTTGATGTAAAAGTTGGGTATTCATCCTTTCTGATGGCTGAGTAATATTCCATTGTATATATGGACCACATCTTCTTTATCCGTTCATCTGTTGAAGGGCATCTTGGCTCTTTCCACAGTTTGGCTATTGTGGACATTGCTGCTACGAACATTGGGGTGCATATGGCCCTTCTTTTCACTACATCTGTGTCTTTGGGGTAAATACCCAGTAGTGCAATTCCTGGGTCATAGGGTAGCTCTATTTTTAATTTTTTGAGGAACCTCCACACTGTTTTCCAAAGTGGCTGTACCAACTTGCATTCCCACCAACAGTATAAGAGGGTTCCCCTTTCTCCACAACCTCTCCAACATTTGTTGTTTCTTGCCTTGTCAATTTTTGCCATTCTAACTGGTGTAAGGTGGTATCTCAATGTGGTTTTGATTAGAATTTCCCTGATGGCTAATGATGATGAACAGAATGATGTGTCTGTTAGCCATTTGTATGTCTTCTTTGGAGAAGTGTCTGTTCATGTCTTCTGCCCATTTTTTGACTTGATTATTTGTTTTTTGGGTGTTGAGTTTGAGAAGTTCTTTATAGATCTTGGATATCAGCCCTTTGTCTGTAATGTCATTTGCAAATATCTTCTCCCATTCTGTGGGTTGCCTCTTTGTTTTGTTGTCTGTTTCCTTTGCTGTGCAGAAGCTTTTTATCTTGATGAAGTCCCAAAAGTTCAAACTCTCTCTCTTCACAGATGACATGATACTTCATGTGGAAAATCCAAAAGACTCCACCTCCAAATTACTAGAACTCATAGAGCAATTCAGTAATGTGGCAGGATACAAAATCAATGCACAGAAATCGGTTGCTTTCTTATACACAAACAATGCAACTGTAGAAAGAGAAATTAGAGAATTGATTCCATTTACAATAACACCAAAAACCATAAGATACCTTGGAATAAACCTAACAAAAGAGGTAAAGGATCTATACTCTAGGAACTACAGAACACTCGTGAAAGAAATTGAAGAAGACACAAAAAGATGGAAAAACATTCCATGTTCATTGATTGGAAGAATAAACACTGTTAAAATGTCTATGCTGCCCAGAGCAATCTATACCTTCAATGCCATCCCGATCAAAATGCCAATGACATTTTTCAAAGTGCTGGAATAATCCTAAAATTTGTATGGAATCAGACAAGACCCCGAATCTTTGGGGAAATGTTGAAAAAGAAAAACAAAACCATGGGCCTCATGTTGCCTGATTTCAAGCTATATTACAAAGCCGTGATCACCAAGACAGCATGGTACTGTCACAAAAACAGACATATAGACCAATGGAACAGAACAGAGAGCCCAGATATGGACCCTCAACTCTATGGTCAAATAATCTTCAACAAAAATAAAATAAAATAAAGTAAAATAAAATAAAATAAAATAAAATAAAATAAAATAAAAATCTTCAACAAAGCAGGAAAAAATATGCAATGGAAAAAAGACAGTCTCTTCAATAAATGGTGCTGGGAAAATTGGACAGCTATATATAGAAGAATGAAACTTGATCATTCTCTAACACCCACACACAAAGATAAACTCAAAATGGATGAAAGACCTCAATGTGAGACAGGAATCCATCAAAATCCTAGAGGAGAACATAGGCAGTAACCTCTTCGACATCAGCCACAGCAACTTCTTTCAAGATACATCTCCAAAGGCAAGTGAAACAAAAGGGCAAATGAACTTTTGGGACTTCATCAATATAAAAAGCTTCTGCACAGCAAAGAATGTTGTCTTAAGCTGCTAAATTTTGGGTTATTTGTTACACAGTAACATAAAACTAATTTAATATGCAGTTTAGCCATTCTCTTTTGATGGACATATGGGCTATTTCTAGTTTTGTTCTAGTATGAATAGTGCTGCTATGAACATTGATGTGCAAGTCTTTTTTTTGTGGATATATGTTTTCATTTCTCTTGAAATGGAATTGTTGGGTCATAGAGTAGATGTATGTTTTGTTAAATGAAGAATCCTTTGGTATAATGTAGCAGAAAGAATCCAAACACTTATGGAGATGGGAATGTTGGTTTATAAACCTTCCCTTCTAGGAAGGTGTGATTCATTCACAATCAATGCCGTTCCTTGAGAGGGTCCAGATGACGTTCTCTTCACTAAGCCACTGAGAAACATATTTGTGAGAGAGTAACAACATCTTTGGAAAGTGCATAGTAACTGGTTTCTGTAGGCCAGGGATGTTGGGGGAAGACACTGCAAATGGGACTGAAGAATATGGGCATTTCACTAAGATCCTGATTCATAAAACCAAGAATCCTCTGGAACTGGTGAACAGAAGGCCAACTTAAGACAAGATAAGAGTTATGGTCTCTCACCCAATTTTCAGACCTGGGTTGGTTCCTTGAATGAAGTGAAGGTAGGTACACTTAAGGAAGATGTATAAATATCTGTCGATATATTCCTAATAGGCTTCCCCAATGGGACCTATAGTCATGTCCCAGGATTACTGTTATGGTTGAATTGTGTCCTCCAAAAAGATATGTCAGAGCCCTTTCCCCAGGTACCTGTGTAATAGGTGATGTTATTTGGAAATGGGTTCTTTGCAGATGTAATCAAGCTGAGATAAGGTCATACTGGATTAGTGTGGGTCCTAATCCAATGACTATGTCCTTATAAAAAGACATTTGGACAGAGAGACAAACAGCAAGAACATCAAGTGAGGATGGAGGCAGAGATTGGAGTGATACACTGCAAGCCAGGGAATGCCAAGGACTACTGGTAACCACTAAAGGCTAGGAGAGAGGCATGGAACAGATTCTCAGAGCCTCCAGAAGGAACCAACTCTGCCAACACCTTGACTTTGGACTTCTGTCTTCCAGAACCATGAAACAATACATTTCTGTTGTTTTAGTCACCCAGCTGTGGTACTTGTTATGGCAGCCCTAGGAAACTAAGAGAATAACTGTGCCCTTGGAAACTCCTGACACTGGCTTAATGCTAATTGGAGTTGTAGTTGGCACCGTGATCCCCCACTCAGAGTGGAGGCTTATGGAGTCAAGTGAAAAACTGACTTTTGATTCTAATCTACCTCACTGCCGGTCCTGTCCTCAAGCCCATTTTTAAACCCATGATTTTTGTAGTTCCATAGTGGATAGTTAGATTAGGCATATTCAGCAAGTGGCAGAATATGTCACTCTAATCCATGGAATATGGCTATTATGGTTGAAAGGGCTAAGGGGAAGCCCTACAGCTTACTTCCTATCAAAATTATAAACAAAAACCAATACTGCATTGCTGGGGGAAATGTAAGACTCAGACACCCATCAAAGACCTGAAAATTCAGAGGTGGCGACTGCTGTTACTTACCCTCTTAACTCACCTGTCTGGCTCATGCAGAAGTCAGAAGGTGTTTGGAGAATGGCAGTGGGTTATTGAAAGGTTAAGACAGGTGATGACTCCAATTGTACTGTTCCTGATATGGTTTCTTTACTAAAGCAAAACAACAGAGCCTCTGCCACCTGTAATAAAGTTATCAACTTGTAAATGGTTTTTCTCTATTTCAACGAGCAAAGAAAACCAAAGGTAGCTTTGTTTAATCTGGCAAGGGCAGAAAATACACCTTCACCATTTTGCTTCATGACCATGTTAACTCTCGGCCTTTGTGCCACAATTTAGTCCACAGGGACTTTGATCTTCTTAGCCTCATGTAAGACATCACACAAGTCCACTATAATTATGACAAAATGCTGGTAAAACCTAAATAGCAGGAGGTATCAGGTACGCCAGATGTCTTAACGAGTTGTGTTCAGTGTTTTTGGTTTTATTTTTAAAATAATTTTATTTTTAATTTATTTTATTTATTCATTTTTTTAAAGATTTTATTTATTTATTTGAGAGAGAGAGAGAGAGAGCATGAGCAGGGTGAGGGGCAGAGGGAGAGAAGCAGGCTCTCTGCTGAGCAGGGAGCCCGACATGGGGCTTGATCCTAGGACTCATGACTTGAGCCGAAGGCAGATGCTTAACAGACTGAACCACCCAGGCGTCCCATTAATTATTTTTTTAAAGATTTTATTTATTTATTTGAGAGAGAGAGTGAGCGAGAGAGAGAACATGAGCAGGGGCAGAGGAGTCTACTGAGCAGGGAGTCCGACGCAGGGCCAGGACCCTGGGATCATGACCTGAGCCAAAGGCAGATGCTTAACTGACTGAGCCACCCAGGCGTCCCCAGTGTTTTTGGTTTGAATCATTCTAGGACGTGTGTAGTGGTATCTCATTGTTGTTTTAGTTTACAATTCCCCAATTCTCTGATAACATGATGTGAAGCATCTTTTTGTATGCTTATTTGCTATTTATTTTCTTTGGTGGGGTGTCTGTTCAGATCTTTTCTTTTTTTTTTTTCTTCCTTTCCTCTCCACTCCTTTCCTTACTTCTTCTTTTTCCTTCCTTCCTTCTTTCCTTTTTTTTCTTTCTTCTCTCTCTCCCTTTTCCTTTTCTTTCTTCCTTCTCTCTCTCCCTTCTTTCCTTCCTCTTTCTCTTTTCTTTCTTTCTTTTCCTTCCTTCCTTCCTTCTTCCCTTCCTCCCTTCCTTCCCTTTCTCCCCTTCCCCCCTCTCCTGCTCTTCCTTGCTCCCTTCCAACTTCAAACACATATGCTTTATTTTGCAGAAGTGTCAGTGGTGGGCTGAGACCCCCAGCAGGGCAGGGGCAGCTGGGCAGCCACCAGGCCCTTTGGGAAGGTGGGGGGAAGCCGCAGAAAGAGGTGATGCCTCCATAGCTCCTCCCAAGGCCAGCCTCTTCCCCAGGCTCCCAGGACAGGGTTTTTGCCCATTTTTAAATCAGACTGTTTGTTCTCTTATTGTTGCATTTTAAGGATTCTTTGTATATTGTGGATACTAGTCCTTCATTAGATATGTTTTGCAAATATTTTCTCCCAGGCTGCATGGCTTGTCCTTTCATTCTTTTAACAGTGTCTTTTGCAGAAGTTTCTAATTTTAATAAGGTCCAACTTATCCATTCTTTCATGGATTGTGCTTTTGATGTTGTTTCTAAACAGTCACTGCCAAACCCAATGTCACCTAGATTTTCTCCTATGTTATCTTCTAGGAGTTTTATAGTTTTGCATTTTACATTTAGGCCTATGATCCACTTACCTGTGTGTGTGTGTATGTGTATATATATATATATATATATATATATATATATATATATATATATGTTTTTATTTTAATACATATATATTTTAAAGATTTTATTTATTTATTTGACAGAGACACAGTGAGAGAGGGAACACAAGCAGGGGGAGTGGGAGAGGGAGAAGCAGGCTTCCCGCCGAGGAGGAAGCCCGATGAGGGGCTCGATCCCAGGACCCTGGGACCATGACCTGAGCCGAAGGCAGACGCTTAACGACTGAGCCACCCAGGTGCCCCTTTACATGTATATTTTAAATAATTATTTTATCAAATTAAAATGCATATAATTAAAAAAATCAAGACTTATAATGATAAGACTTATAATGAAAAACATCCTCTGCTCTACCCTTTTTTTAATTTTTAAAAGATTTTACTTATTTATTTGACAGAAAGGGAGAGAGAGCACAAGCAAGGGGAGTGGCAAGCGGAGGGAGCCGCTGATGCGGGCTCCATCCCAGGACCCTGGGATCATGACCTGAGCTCAAGGCAGAGGCTTGACCGCTTAACTGACTGAGCCACTCAGATGCCCCTTCTCTACCCCTTCCTATCCCCAGAACCCAGATCCCACTCTCCAAACCATTTCAGCTTTCAATCTTTTTGGTACTGACTTCCACATATTTAGATAAACAACATTTTTAGCTAACATTTATTGAGTGCTTACAATAGAGTGTCAGGCTCTATCTTAAGTGCTTTTCATACATTGTTTAGTCTTCATAATCATCTTATATTATAGGTATTATTTCTATTCCCATTTTAGGGATGAGAAAAATTGAGTCACAGAGGGGTTAGGTAATTTTGTAAGGTCACATGGTTAGCAAATGGCAGAGTTGGGATTTAATCCTCGGCAGTGTGTTCTTTCAGTATAATGTTTACCTTGTGATTTCTTGATTTATTAATTTTAGACTATTGGCTTCCTAGTATGAATATTTATCACTCACACCACCAAAGTCACCAATGTGTCTCCCTTTATTAATCCAATATGCCGTATTTCACTGAATCTAAGACATCACTGACTGTAAGATATACCTTTATATATCACTAAAAAGAAAATAATTACCAAAGTAACAATACTCTTATAACTTAGAATTTTCATTTTATATTTATTGAAAGAGATCCTTTAGACTTCAGATGTATTATTTACTATATACTTTTGTGCATGCATGCAATAAAAAGAAAAATACAGGGGCGCCTGGGTGGCTCAGTCGTTAAGCGTCTGCCTTTGGTTCATGTCATGATCCCAGGGTCCTGGGATCAAGCCCTGTGTTGAGCTCCCTGCTCAGTGGAGAGCTTGCTTCTCCCTCTCCCTCTGCTGCTCCCCCCTCACCCACCCCACTCGTGCTTTCTCTCTTTATCTCAAATAAATATTTTTTAAAAGATTTTATCTATTTATTTGACAGAGAGACACAGCGAGAGACGGAACACAAGCAGGGGGAGTGAGAGAGGGAGAAGCGGGCTTCCCGCTGAGCAGGGAGCCCGATGCGGGGCTGGATCCCAGGACCCCTGGATCATGACCTGAGCCGAAGGCAGACGCTCCACGACTGAGCCACCCAGGCGCCCCTAAATAAAATCTTTTTAAAAAATACAAGCAAATAAACTGGTTAAAGTATTTCTAAAATTTCTTTCATTCAGAATCTCATTCTTTTGAATCATTTTTTGCCTCAAAGATGTCAATGCCCACATTTTATTTTTTTAACACAAATCATACTCCATACTTTCCAAGAGTAATGGTGATATAGTATTTTTTAAAAGGGGGATCCACTATCATCAGTGGGATCTTCTTCCAAACTACTGATATTCATTCTGCAAATTTTGATACTGGCACTTTCTTGATTTTTCAGAATATATAAATGAAAACTTCTTAGACAAAACCTGGACTTATATTCTTTCCTCAAATGGTCCTTAAATGGATTGTGGACTGACATGTTCAGGAGTGGCATATCCCGTCATGCCATAGGAATAACAGTCATGTTTGCACATGGTTAGAGCATCTGTGTCATGATCATTGCCTGGCTGATAGCAATTGTGACAGATCTTGATTTCAGATTTTCAGATTTCAGTTTTGATAACTTGTGCATCTTGGAATCCATGAAAAACAGTAGTCATATACAAATTTTAGTTATATAAATATTTAATTGGACTTTATGTCTGAGTCATGTATGTATCACTTATGTACCATGATTAATTTCCTTGTATGAACTTTTGCTTTCCCTAGAATCAATAATAGCCTGTTTTTCATTTGCTTACTTTTCTATATTCTCTACCATTATCTCTCTCCTAAGGAATTGTAAAACTCTTGGAAATACTCTTTTCCACACAGACATGTCAAGTCTTCTATCAGTCCCTTTATTTTTTTCCTGGAGACATTTCTCCTGGAGCTTTATGGGTTAGACTGGACTATTTTCCCAGTTCTTCACTTCCTTCCTCTTACTGAATTATACACCCATGCTTTATGCCAAATGACTTTGCAGTATCTTCCACTAGACTATGGGGAGTACATTTTCCTACTCCATTGATGTTGAGCTTGGCCCTATGACTTGCTTTGGCTCAAAAATGTTAATAGACATGAGAGGAGCAGAAGATTTCAATGTACTTGTGTCATCTGGCTTGCTTTTTGAGCTCTTCTACAATTAGCCATGAAAATAACGTGGCTTGGGTAGCGGCTGGTTAAAGGAGAATGAGAAAACATGAGGAGAAGACTTGAACCCAAACTTCAGTCTAGAGCCAAGCCCAGCTGAACCCAGATATATCAATTGAACTGTAGCCAATATGTAGACCCATGAACATGAAAAATATTTGTTTTTGTAAGCCACTGAGATTTTGAGGTTTTCTTTTATTACATAGAAAAAAACTGACTAAATGCCTTCTATCCTCCTGCACAAATGTGGACTGGTTGTTGCTCTGCAGAACTATTGTCCTGGGATGTTCCTTTGCCTACCTATTAGGCTGGATATCTCATTTACGGATTTCTGTGACGTCCTTTTTCTTGGTTTAATAGGGCATACATATCCTTAAGTAGCTTCCTGAGAATGGGTGCATAAAAGGCACATTTCTTGAGACCCCCTCATGTTGATTGGGTCATCACATTTCATCAATTTGGCCAGGTATGGATTTCCAGGTTGAAAATAACTTTCTCTCAGAATTTGAAGGCATTTTACCATTGTCTTTCAGCTTCCTATGTTGTTTCTGAGGGATGTAATTCTAATTCCCTATTCTGTATATGTGGCTTATTTATTTTTCCTTTGGAAGCTTTTAGAATCTTCTTCATGTTCCAAGAATTCTGATATTTCATGATGATATGCCTGGGTGGGAATCTGTTTTCAACCACTGGATA